AATGGTGAAACTCTTGAGGACACCACAGTGATCTCAAAGACCACAGCTTCAGTAACCAAGTCATGTATTCACATGTGCTGTTCCAGGTTGACTTCTATCGTTCTGTAGGGGGATCTGGAACAAGACATCTTTCAGCCTCAGCTCACCCAACAGCACTGAAGACTGAAATGAAGAAGTTGGTGGATTCCAGAGTGAAGCAAGAAGAAGGCTGGGATGCAACATGAGCAGATGGTAAGAACTGGGTGGCTTAATAGGCATTTAGGATGATACTGTGTCCTCTTCCAAACTTTGAGACCGGTTTCTTCCCTTTGCCTCATTCCTCATCAGGGCAGAAAGTGCTGCATATATACTGTTTTTTAGTTCCTCTTGTAGGTCCTTGTCCATACCTGCTGGTTGGGCAGGTGAAACTCAGCATGTTTCCACCACTAGAAAGCCTTTCTTAAAAAATTATTTTAATTTTTAAAAAACTAATCCAAGAGTATTCCGTTAGTGAATGTTAGAAGAACTGAATTTGATTGTCATTTTGGCCTCTAGCACACTATGAGAATGATACTGAGGAAATGAATCATGGTTTGTGCTGAAGGAGGCTGTTGTTAGACAGGCCATTGCCTCACATATCTCAGGAGCTGGAATGTAGACAGTGAACGAGGCAGGGACTGTGACCAGGAGCATAGATGATGGTGGGGCTGAGGGAACCAAAACTCAGACCCAAATCCTGCATTTTCTTCTGAAGTCTGCCAGGGAGCTGTATGCTGCTGTGTGTATAACTTAGAGAAAAATTTCCATATGACTTCACTCATGGTGAATTACTTCTTTCTTACGTTTCCCTGAGACACAGAATGATCTAGCCTGAAATACAAGAAAAAGAAAAAAGAAAAAAGAGGATTTCACCTAGATCTGGAACAGTGAGAGTGTTTTTACATTTTTGTGTTTTTTACATAGATTGCCCAGTCAAAGTGCAGGATATGTTGTTAGTCAGCCCCTATGTGACTTGCATTAGAAAATGTGACAAGTTTGGGCTTAATCCGTCTGGGCCTTATCTCACAAGGGTTTTGTAAAGATTAACTGATGCTTGTGAAATATTCTAAGCTATCATGGCAATATAATAGGAAACTCAAAGAATATATGAACACACCTGGTCTAGTACAATGCTTGGATATAGAGAATGGTAGATAAGAACTGAAAATACTTTTGAAATGCTGAAGTTAGAAGAGAATACAAACCACACATGGACTCCGTGAGCGTTCACTGCCCTTTGTGGTAAATAAAGTGAGAAAAATAGCCCGTGTTGAGATAATTCATCAAAGCAGTGTAATAGATAAGCAAAAGGACAAGTGACAATTGCACATGCTACTTCAATGGGCATTTCCTGCTGTGCAAGCGTGAGAACTGCCAGCCTTAGCTTTCTGTAATATAAAACCGCATGTGGGTGTAACTGTAAAAAACATATGAATTTGGCTGTAAGCAGCATGGAATACCTCAACATGACCTGAATGTGTTGGCATTCAGAAGCCCTTCCCATGTAGTTTTGCTCCATGGTGCCAGGAACTACAGCCCCAAGGCACTGCAAACCTGTGCCTGTACTTCAGATCAGTTGTAGAAGAGTTCCTTGGATTGTGGCCTCGTGAGCCATTATTGATACCAGATATATGTTAAGAAAAGATTTCTCTAGAAATGGAAGAATTGTCACTCCAGATCTGAACAACTTCTGTGGCAAACACTCCTCGTGTGCCCTTTGAGCTGATGGGTCAGAAGGTGGGGACATGGGGAGCAATGTAAGTGAAGATCCCTTTTGTGACCACCTGAGGAACATGAACATGTATACATTATGTATATGAGGTGTGTCCTAGAGTCCTAAATGGCTGACGTAGTCACCAAGCCATTCTACGTCACATTTGAAAAGTCATGGCAGCCAGATAAAGCACCCAAAGGGGACAGACTTTTTTCCAGGGTCTATTGTGATAGGACAAGGGGAAATGGTTTCAAACTAAAATAAAGAACGTTTAGATTGAATGTAAGAAACTAGCTGTATTACAGTAAGATGGTGAAGCACAGGCACAGGGTTCCCAGGGTGCCCCATCCCTGTAAACAGCCAAGGTCAGGGGATGGAATCTGAGAACCTGATGGAGGTATGGATGACGGTGTTCAATGCAGGCAGTTGGACCAGGTGGCCTTCCAGGGCCCCTTCCAACTCAAACGGTTCTATGACTCCATGAACTTCAGGAGAGAAAGAAAGGCTATTAGAAGGACTTAAGGACTGCTATGATCTGAAGAGGGTTTAGGAAGTCTTCCTCAGAAAATAAGTGGAAATATTTTCCCTTGCTAGATTTCCTTTTCCTACATTTTTCATTCACTGTGAGCCAAAATAGACCAGAATACTAACCCTCAAATTATTGGCAATTTGTTCAGCTCTCTAGAAAAATGCCTCCAATAAACACAAACCCAGCTAGTCAGCGTAGCATTAAATCAAACCCTAAAAGATGAAAAATGCTTCTTTCAGTGTTTTATCTGAAGCCAAAAAGGATATTGCTTTACATTTTTTTGAAATAGGAGTGCATAGCTTTACTGCTGCCTTCCAGCATCCAGAGAAGTTCCCCCCGGTAAGAGCTCATTAATTTGAGAGTAGGCTTGATTAGACTAGAGCTGAACAAGACTGAAACATTTCATTTCGTTCTTTCATGCTAATCTCTTGGCAGAACAACCTCTCTTTTGCCCATCACCCCCACTCAAAACACAAACAAAAATAAGAGCTCCCCCTCCTTCATCTGTATGGACCACAAAACAGCCAGAAAAACTCCTTTGTTATTACCATAAAATGCATTGGACAAGTGAATAAAATAGCTGTTGGTAGCTCAGGTCTATGGGATACTAGTAATCCTATATAATTGCCAACCTGTGGGGTGATTGGTGAAAGAAACCTTAAAGCCTTTTTATTTTATCTTGGTAATGATGAAGGAGTTACCCAAAACATATGAATGCACCTCTCCTCCTTTAGACCATCAAAGGTTCAACAATGAATTCCTTTCTTTGAGAAAGCTGGGCTTTTGTCTGCCGTGAAACTCAATCCGTAGCCCTCTAATTAATTTTGCTAAATAGATTAGCCAATTGGAGTTGCTGCTTCAGAGGGAAGCAGCCCCCAAAAACAAGTTTTTCCCCATTCTCAAGGTGAGATGTTTTGCTCACAGGACATCCTTTCAAGTGCACTGGAGTACTTTTAGACTGGATTAGCTGAGGCAAATGGATTAGCCTTTGTAGGTATTAGAACCAAGGGCCTTTAAGAAAGGAAAACAAGGTGCCTAGTTTCACCAGTATGCCACTAAAAGCTACTTAGTGCAAACATCCGTAAAACTGTCAAGAATGAGGACTTGTAAAAGCAACTGTAAGCACATCCTCAAGCTAATTGTAAGACACACATTTACACAGAAATATGCAAACTGCAAACACGGTTGAATAGGAACTGTCACAAACATATCTGATCTTAGTGAGCATAAAGAATTTTTGCTGGTGTTTCAAAGGACACTTGAAACTCTGCAGCATCTGCTAAATTTTCTTCCATGCAAGTCAGTTGATAAAGGCATTAATCCCCTCACGAAAGTAACCCTGAATGACTCTCCTCTTTGCCATCTTTCTGAAGGTCCAACCCAGAAAAGTGCTAAACATTACAGAATGGACTCTGTGCATCAGTGGCAATCTGCAGCCAGTCAGCCCAAGATATTTTTCCATCTTTCACATCTTGTCAAAGCGTAAAGCAGTAAAACAGCAAGAGAGTAATGTTGAATGAAGCTCAAAAAGAGACTGAAAGTGGGAATTTCAAATGATTCTCCTAAAAGTTTGCCTCTTATCCCCACCAGCGCTGACTTGACTTGGTGTAAGTGAATGCATGTTCCTATTTCTGTAGAAAAGGAAAGAAATTTCAAAACATAATTTAGGTGGATAGACTTGATGTGCCACAATAATTTTAATAATTTTCTGTAGCAAAGGACGTGATGAAATCCTGCTTGCCCAGCACCATGGATGGTAACCAAAATTGTGTGGTAACGTTTTACGTAAGTGGCAATATCAAAATTGAGAAATAGAAGAAGAAAACCTCCTGTGAGGGGTAACTAATCCTTGGCCTTAGCAATGGGGTCAACAAGGACTCAGTAACAGCAAACAGCACACAGTAGATATTAGGAAATTATAAACTGCCCGTATGTTGTTGTGTATCAGTAAATATCCTGCATACAAATTCAGTAAACAAAGCTTGTTATGTTGGGAAAGTAGCTCCTCATTCAGTATCCCTTGAAGATCTGTCTCTTATGCCAACTGGGTGACAGCACACAGGAATGACAAACAGGTTTGAGAATGTGTTCAAGATATCATTTTCCTTCTCCATCTCATGAGTACTGCAGAATGTAACATCTACCCACAGAAATTGATCTGCAGTTCAGTAGCACCTTCTGTTCAAGGGCTCACGGCTTATTACAATCAATTGCAGAATATTACAAGGCTCTGAAGAAGTGAATACGTTTTTCTGATCTCGATATGTCCTTTTGGCAGTCATACCTGGCATAGTGCACTCCTCCAAGGGAAGGTGCTGGACTTCTGTCTTATTTTGGAGCTAATACACCTGCAGTGCTTACTAGGCAGCATGGAAGTTGCAAGTGCCCTGGCATTTCCAGAAATGCAGAGATAATGTTCTGGTTTTGTATTCACGCAGATATAAAGTACTGATCTAAATTGTAAATGTGGTTTTTGGAAACACAGAGTACCTACACAACCCATGGTCAACACTGGGAAGTTTGGGTGCTCTGTACATCTGAAAATGCAGGCCCTTGGGGTGCTGTGTTCCTTGCTGTAACCTGCAGGCAGCACTACTGGTTGGCACGCGAGTCTGAAACAGCATGGGGAAATCAGAACAGGCCTTTGTTATCTCAGAGCTTTGTATGTGACTGCTCTGCAGAAAGCAGAGTTGTCATTCCCCAAATATGTTTACATCTCTGTTCTCTGTAGGTGTTAGAAAGATCTGCAAGCGGGAGAGCGAGCATCTGTGTGAAAACAAACCTGTTTTATGCAGTCCTCCAAGTCACCAGAGCTGCTGGAATCCAACAAAGGTACATTATTTATATGCCTTGTCTAACTTGCATCCTATCTGTTTGTGTGGTGCACAGGACACTTTCCTATTGAAGATATGCTGGGGTTTTTGTGTTTGTTCTCATTACTGACCTCAGTGATAGAGGAACAGGCTTTTGGTAATACCCTGAAAGCAGATGTGAAGCAGCTTTCCAGTATAAGAAGTTTGGACTGAAGTGTACCAGCTACACTGCAGGGAAAGCAGAAGTGCCACATGCAAGCTGATGATGAATATAAAGACACAGCATCAGATCTGCTAATAGGTCAGATGATAGATCAGACCAGCAAGCAGGGACAAGCGATAGCAAAGTAACGTGAATGAAGGTAATGAAAACAGACTGGAAGCAGATTTAGGATGAACATAATTAGAGTTAATGTTAGCACTGAAAGCAGAGATTTGGGGGCTGGTGATGCCTGGGGCTAGTTGACGTTTATCAGCATAGCTTGACTGTCTCTCTAAGTGGGGTTTTGTACCTGGGAAGGGATTCTGACATTTTGTTCACAATTGAACCACCTGCTTATGTCTCATCAGCTAAAAAGAGCTTAAAGGCTTCTTAGCACACAGGAGGTATGGATCAGGCATGCAAAAACACTTGTGCCTTGGCTGCGCCATCTCTCAGGCATGGCCATAGGAATAGATAGCATTTTTTATGCCTTTTATTTTCACTAAAATCAAGGCATAAATATCTAAATAAGCCCATGTATAGCTAGTAGCATGTGAAAAATTCCATCAGATGTTTGCAGCTTAAAAAACATGCTGAAGTGCTGGGATTTATCAAGCTCTCTTGACCTCTTGTCTTCACGTATTTCACCTCTACCCATTATGCCAGTGACATTCCCATGACCAACTCTAACCAAGGGATCCTCCACACTGTCCTGATGTGTTCAGTACTGGTCCAGGCAATGTATAACAACTCTGTTCGGAATGTAACCCTGACCAAAAGGGCTGGGTTTGCATGAGAGGCTTCTCCTTGCTCCTTCCACTTGAGGATGCTGGAATAATCTCAATGAGAAACCAGTAATTTTTTAGCAAGCAATCATTGGAAGTCTGGTATAGGGTTATAATTCTAGTCTTGGCACATTTAACAAATTCACCAAAGTAAAAATGGGCAGACTTGGATATTTATATCTGCCACGGGATCAACAGAAACTTCCAGTTGAAGCCCTTGAATCTCTGCTCCCTCTTTTACTCTCCTCTCTCCCCCCTGCACCCTTTGCCAAAGTTCAGCTCAAGTTGATGAAGAATGTATTTTTTTGAATGGTAAATGCCTGGCAGGCCTAGGAACGGTCTACAAGCCAGGTGTGTGGCTCAGGCAGCTTCCAACTCCCTGCTTGGGTCTGATAGTGCTTTTATAAGAAAGCAGCTTCAATCCTGTCCTGGAAGAAACATTCCTGCCCCTGGGGGACAAGTGATTCATTCAGTCAGTGAGGTCAGTTTTGCTGCAGATCTGCCTTAGAAAAGCTGCCAAGCTGCATTGAACTTAACTCATAGTCACAAGCAATTCTGAAATTTGTGCTCTCTACCATTTTGCAAAATGGTAGAAATCATGGCCTTGGACTAAGCTAGGATCTAAAATTCACTGTCACCGAGGTAAGTCATTAAAGCAGCTTGAGTGGGAAAGGTTCATTCTTTGTGAATGAACACAAAAGAACCTGCAAGAGAATGAATCTCTGCAAAGCTGAGAGAGAAAGAGAGAAAAGAGGAGGTGAAGAATAGTTAGAATAAACCTGCAAAGTTTCTGATGATTATTTCCCAGTGGGGGTCTTCTCACTGTGAGAGGGTTCCTAGGGAAGGGGATACTCAGATGGAAAGGAAAGTAATTGGGGAACCAGCCACACTTATAAGACCCTAAATGAAGAGCAGCGTCCAATGAGATTTACAGGATGGAAATTAAGATTTACAGGTGGAAATTAAGCTGTGGGTTGGGAAGATCAGGTCACCCAGGACTGGATATGTGTTACCACAGCTGATGCATTAGGAGAAAAGAATGTGCAAAGGCTATAAATCTCTGGATTATGTCCCTGAAGGTAACTACAGTTATGGGATTACCTTTAAAGAGGCAACATTTGAAGCAACTCACCTCTAAGGGATATTTTCTCTTTGGCATCTCTGGAAAATCTTACAAATGTCACACCAAAACCCATTACTGATTGCCTTTCTCTTTTTGCATCCTCTAAGAAGAGGCATTCAAGACGTACTGTTGCTTCTCTGATACAAGGCCAAGCGTATTGATGGAAGAATAACCGGGTAAAAAGGAATACAGCATTTCTAGGTTCATGTCGAAATTGTGGGATGCAATAAAATATGGGGGTTTTCTGGGTGAGGAAGCTAGCCAAGCTGGTTTAGGTCATAGGAATCTTCCCTTCTGCTTATTCTGAAAGACTACTGATCTGGTATGAAAGAGCATAAGGCTTTCTTGTCCTTTTGACCCCACGCTTATGGCTGAAAGCTTTCTTTACTTCATCTTTTTGAGTAATGAGGGTGTCAGAGTCGTTGTGTGTTACATCCCCACACCAGATACAGGGCAGTAGCTGCATGGTGGCTGCTGGATCATCCTTTGCTGCTGTATCGTCTCCTTGGATCAGGATCAGTAACTGTCAATATTTTGGAACATGATTTACGTGGTCCAATCCAAAGCAAGTGGCATTGAAGTTAATAGTTTGGAAAATTCCTGTAAGAATTTGCTACTTCATCAAGATATGAGTCATAGCATGTCACGTGTTTTGCAGAACCTTAAAGAGAATGAAAATGGAAAAGCAAAACAGGAACTGGTTTGGGGGAAGTTGCTTTTACCCACATATCCGGGGTAGACAACCGCAAGGAATTGAATGACATCAATTCTGGGTGCAGGGCCTCTACAGGTGCCTAAAAACAAACAGTTGCTCAATAAAATGCAACCTTCCAGACATTCTTCTCACATCTCTTCAGAATTCTTAATATGTACCCGAATTGCTGTCCTCTAACCCTTCTGCACTATCCAGGACTGGGAATTGACATGCGCACACTATTAGATAATGACTTACGAAGCCCTTGGGGAGACAAGTTTTTAGTAATACATCCATAAAGGTCAAAATTCACAACAAATATTCAACTAAACCAAAAATAACGCAAAAGGTTTTTATCCTGTTATTCATGCTGGCTATTTCACTACTGGTATGCAAGCCAATTTCCATACTATTGTTCAGGCCACACTTCCTTCTACCCTCCAGGTGGCTCTGGCAGGACCTGGCCTGAAGTCTGCAGTGTGACCATGGGTGATTGGGTACAAAAGTGGGTCTGACTCTTGGCGATGCCAGTGTAGCTGCTCAAGAGTGTTTCTGGAGTGCTGGCCAATACTCCTTCCAAGTTTTAGGAGGCATTTTGGACCCTGCATTTGTGGCTTCTCTACATTAAATTTTGAAAAATTGATTGGCTCAAGAAGGTTTTAAAGGCAGAAGATCCTATGCGTTTATTCTCTTTATCTTCCGTGACTCAAATCAGTTGTGCTGGGCCTGACGCAGCTGAACCGTGACCCGCCATGCTAAGATCTCCTGAGCTGTTTATCAGCACAGGGCAGGAGAGTTCAGTGAGGGCAGAGAGCAGCACACAACATGCCACACTTCACAGCTACCTCTGGCCCATGTCATCATCAGCGTGGCTGCTTGGCAGAGTGCTTGGCATTCAGCCATGACTGCCCGCCAGCAGCTCTGTCCCATTGGAGCTCCAGCAGAACCCTTTCTGCTGCTGCTGCCCCCCAGGTGTGCCAGGTGATGGCAAGCACAGGTTCTGAGTGTGATCTGCTCTTCAGTGGCATCAGCAGAATCTCACTGATAAGCCTGAACTTTAAAACCCGTAGGGAGTCAGAGAAGACGCAACATTGAATGTTTCCACTATCCTGTCAAATTTCTTTTTGGGAGAGACAGTGAACTTGAAACTGTCACAATATCTGCTCTCCCACACCGTCCGTGTCCTCAGAATGCCAGAGGTCTTTACTCCAGTAGCTCTGTCTGCCCAAATCCTGCAGAGAGCACATAGAGACCTTTAAGCATTGGAAATACTGATTGATGTCTGAGCTTAAGAACAGCATTTCACAGATGCATCAGGCCAATACTGCATCCTCTGCAACCTGAAAATCCAAGAAATGAAGAAGACACAATTATAAAATGCTTCTGGAAAGCAAGGATCATCCTGCATCAAGCCACATGTTAATTGCCTTTGGGGTCTTTCAAGAATCTGTCCCAGGGCAGCCAAAGATTTTCCATTCAGTGTGGAAATATCTGTTTATCAAACATCTTTGTTTGGAAGATCTCCTAAGTTGATTTTCTGAGGTATGAAATGACAGACAGCCCAATGGATTTGAGAAAAATTCTAGTTAAGCATGGCTTCAAAAAAGATGCAGGCATTTCAGTGAGAACCCTATGCTTGCCTACTGCTCATCAGGCAGTGGTGCTGTATAATGATGGGATAAGTGTACTCAGACTTCGATAGGGCTCAGTGAAGCAGAGAGGAGCTGTCTGATCACCTCATTCATGTCTCAGGAGCTTATTTTTTTGAGGAGGAGGACTTGAATATAAATATGTGGATCAGCATGGAAGCACTGCAACATTCACTGAATTTCCTGAAGATCGGTTGGTGGTTTAAAATCTGCCATTCCAGGACATTGGGCCCGGTGTTGACTCTAAAATAGACCCACTCCCACTGATGCCCTCTGCATTCTGCTGGGCTGTGGGAGACCAGGACCTCCTCCCAGGAACCCTTCATCAGCTTTATGCTTGTTGATTCATACCAGTGCCTGCAAGGGCAACCCCATCATCCTATGGAGAACGTATGAATGAGCAGCACTGCAAAACAAACAAAAAAAGCCAGCAAGGTTTTCCTCAACATGCAGAAAAGTTGCAGACTCCAACTGCAGAGCTCCTATCTCCCTCCCACCGCCCCCTCCAGCCTGGGTGCCCTGTGTGAAGGAACTGGTGACTTGGGGAAAAAAAAACCTGTCATGAGGTCATACCATTATCACATTTCTATTCCAGTGCTTTCTCACTGCCTACAATTATCACTCTTTTATTCTTGTACTTGGCTTCTTAGACTTTGATCTAGTCCCTCGCTTCATATCCTTTGATGCATTTTAGCTTACATTGTCTGTAACCTGACCCCTTGTCATCTAATTCCACCAACTTCTCACAACCCATATCAACCACTCTCTCCCCTCTTTCATCTCTCTTTTGTATAAATGCATACAGAGCCGTAACAAAGAGACTACAGTGTAGCTGTAGAACTTCCAAGATCCTTAGAAGTGCTGGGTAAAGTCCCTATGCATTTATTTTACTCCCCACTTAAAAAAAAGAAAAAAAAAAGAAAAAATTTTTTTTTATCCCTTTTTTTTTTTTTTTTTTTCCCTGTAGACAAAAAAAATACTAAGGAAAGGAAAATAAACATATAGGTATATTTCTGAATTGGTTATGAAACCCTTTATTTAATCATTTTTCTTATAAATCTACCTTCAAGTTCTCTCCAGTGACATTCAGGCTGCTGAGACACGGTACGTTTTCATCATTAAATACTGGCAAGCTTTGATCATGTTTACTTTCATTGACGAAAAGGGAGGAAAGGCCAGTGCTTACGTTGCAAATACCAATTAGTGCAGGACTGCAGTCTGTGCATGTGTATTTATAAATGCATATTTAGAGGAAAGAAAATAATTTGGTTTGTGCAATGTAGGAAATGTGGGCAAAAACATACGGTCATATTTTGCTATGTCGAAATAACACAGAGACAGACCTTCAGCTCTCAAAGGTGATTCAGGAGATGGAAGTCTCTTTAAATCAATGGATTATAGGATGTGGGCATGTCTGAGCACTTGGGAATATTCTTAACTCCATCTTTATGTACCTACATTTTTTGGCATCCTGGTCCTAAATTCCCTTAGATCCTGGATTTTGAGTTCAGAGTTGGTGATGCAGTTTTATACAGTTCCATCCTATACTTCTGGGTATATATTTAGCAGCAAGATGGAACTGAAGGAAGAGAGAGGAAAGAGATTTTTTTTAGATGCCTCTGAATATTCAGAAAGATATTTACAATAATATTTCTCACTCTGCGTGACAATAATAGACTTGTAAGGGCAGAGAGAGGCAGCTGAGCACAGCTCTGCATGGTGGCTGTGACTTCTGGCTCAGGGCAGCTACTTGCTTTATTTTTAGCTGCTGGGAAGCAGTGAGGAAGACTGTGCATTGAACCAGGTGAGCCCTGGAGCTCCTAGGCAGGTCCCACACACACTGGTGCTGCTTGGGATTTGTATGTTCAAGCTGTAGCCACCCACCTGTGGGTGCGATCCAGCTGAGGGCTGATAGCTGGTGGGCTTTGGTTTCTCTTCTGGATAGTTTGACACCGACAGCCACGTCCTGCCAGGACTTGAGGGCTTTCTGGCTGACACTCACTGGTTTTGATTTGCCACATTCGTCCCTAGTCCAGGAAGGTCACAAATCAACATAGAGATGAACCAAAAGTCTCTGTTTGAACTTCAGATGTTCAGCAAAGGCAGTCCCAAGGAGCTGCTGAGGACGTGGTCTCCTTGGTATGTTTGGTGAGCACAAACCAAAACAACTCTTCTTTCTACCTACACCCAGTGCATCATGGAAATCTGGTGGAACTTATGCTTAAGGCAGCTGCTACTACTCCACAGATTTGACCCATGGTTTTCTGATAGGACATTGGAAAGAAGCAACATCTCTCACCTATCCTCATTTCTTTCCTCACCCAGAGATACTGGGCTTCCACTGCCTTGGCCATATATAAAATATGCCATGTTGTGCTGCACGCACAGCCTCTCCGTTTGGAAGAGTGGTCCATCCTCACAGCCTGACCTGTAGTCCTTCTCCCTCCTGTGGGTTCTTTTCTGCCTGCAGTGCTGTGACTGTGAATAACATTTCCAACAAATACTTTGGGAAATTTCTAGGTAATAAATTTCTCCACTGCAAGCAGTTCCCAATGTCAGGCAAGCAGTATTGCAGGTGCCAGGAGAAATAAAAACAGAAGAAAAAAAAAAAAAAAAAAAAAAAAAAAAAAGAGAATAAAAAGAAATATAAAGAAAACCTTGACTTTTTGCTTTGTCCTGCAGTCGCTGGCTGGTTAAAACACCATTTATGCTGACTGATTTCAATCTCTAAAATCATGTTTTCCATACCAGTGGGCCAAATAGTTCCTGGGCAGTTTGAACACCTGTGAACCTGGCATGCTGGGCTCTAAATAATGCAGACGCAGCAGTTTGCTCTGCTCCTCTCTGGTTCATGTCCTTTTCTAGCTGGCAAAAACCTCTGATAGCGACAGTATTTTGCAGCTGGAAAATAGGTCACCTTCATAGTTATATATTTATACACACATGCATGTGTCTGTGGCTGTGTTGATATATCCCCTGTGATGCCCTGAAGTTGGACAAATAAGCAGAATAGTTACATTCAAAGGAGAATTCCAGTTTTGCCAAAAATGAAAATTCCCAAAGGGATGGTGGGATTTGGTTGGACAAGCAGGTTACAAATATGTAAGTACCTTCAGAAGGAATTCTAAGCTGCTTTCTTGGAACAGAGCCTTTTAAGAACGAGAAGTCTATCACTAGCTGAAGGTACGGTTCCTCTTTGCTGAGGATTGTGTGTTTCACCAAACCTGTGCAGGTGGCTGTGTGTATGGATGCATGTACTCAGAGAATGTGTCCTTGAGACAAACTGCAGGAACTCTGCCTCTGAATAATCAGTTATTTTATTTACAGGTTTTCTACATACGGTGGTGAACCAGCAGGTTTATTTATACTAAAGAAGTTTCTCATCCATTATTGATGCCTAAATCAGCTCTGGTCTTTCCCTGGCCTGCAACTCCTCTAATGTGAGCGTGTGTATGAAGCATCTTTGAGTTCAGCATGGATGGTTTGCTTACCATCAATTATGCATGTGGTAAGCACAAAGGAACTGTTTAGGGGACAAGGAGAGGCTTCTCCTTCAGTTTTCAGGGGCAAATGTTGCTAGTCATAGAGTTCCCATCTCCCCGTACTTTCCCTTATTGCACCCAGCTCTGTCTATTCAGCAGCAGCTGCTAATTCAGTGGCAATAAAGTCTAGGAAAAGCCCTTGGGTTTTTGGAGTTGAATGGGAGGCATTCAGTTTAGAGTTACTGCCCGTGACTTTTCTTTGTGGATGCACTGTGTAGTGTTTACTCTGTTCCAGAGCACGACTTCCATTTCAAAAGGAACACCATCCATGTAGTGACTGGCAGCCAAATCTTTTTGTAGTTACATAAAACACAACCTCAGTTTTGCTTTTGGAATATCTATGAGGCTTCAAATATGTGCTGCCTCTCTGTATAACCACTGTAATGAGCTGAACTTCTGCTGGAAATCATTGAGAGTATTCCCTTGGACTTTGAGCATCCAGAGGGCTCTCCATAGCTCCGTGTGGCCCTGGCACAACCCGTGTTTGTTCAGACATGCATTTTAGCATGGCTGCTAAACCACCTAGAATTAGTGAAGAGAATATGTGCACAAAGAGTGGGACCTTGTGCTGGAGCCAGCCCATCTGCACGTTTGGTCCAACCCCTGGGAGCAGTGCCGATGTACAGCTCCGAGGTCCTGATCAAATCCCTCCCCATTCAAAACTGATGAACATATGGAAAATTGTTACCTTTGTGATTCCATGATTCCTTGATCGTGGTGTGTGTCCCTAATCTAGGGCTGGTCTGCTTTTTGTTTTGTTCATCCACCCATCCTTTTAACTTTACAGGAAGAAGCCCTACAAAGGAAAGAGAATCAAGCCAGCAAGAAAGTGCTTCCCATTTTCTAAGTCCCACTGTGCTTTTTAAGCTCCTGTTCTGCTCTCCCATGGAAGAATCTCCTATTCTGCAGTCCAGTCCTCCTGGACCAATAGGTCAACCAGCCTGGTGAGCTCCACAAGGCCATTGACACAGAGCAGCTGTTGGCTGCTTTCTTCTCCTGGTATTACAGGGGATTGAACTGAACTGTGGCTGCTTTGCAGGAGCATAGCTGAAAGGACATCTATACAGCAATAAAAACAGAGCCGCCGCAGCCATTACATCAAGGAGTATCAGATCCTTTGATGGAAACATGAGTGTCTCTAAACTGGAGGTAATCGAGGGCTGCATCTGACACACGTGGTACTGCCATCTCGTAAAATGTCATGGATGCTTGACCTGAGATGCTCAAGCCACAGTTGGTTCCTCAGGGTGGGATTAATGAAGTGGTGGGAGGTTGGGGAGGTGATGGTTAAAGCATCTTAAAGACCTGGTGTGCCATTTATAATGCCCAGGAGAAAAACACAGCAGTCCCTTATTTAGATGAGTTGGGGTAGTGTATTACAGCATTTCTTACTGTCTGAGCTGTGCCCTGTGAAGTCTGCCTTGAGTATTTATAGGGCAATTAGTTGCTGCAAATATGTTTTTAAAATAAATTTTAGGGTGTTTTTTTATTTTTTTCATTTGAAATAACTTATTAGCACTTAACAGAACTTCAAATGTAGCAGATTTCAAACGGCATATAGGCTTCTAGGCTGAGATTTTTTCCTCTTTTAACAAATCTAGATGCCAAATTCCTATTCCAGTTATTGGTAGCTTCTTATCCAAATCACTTTAACAGCTTTGAACATCTCAGCTATAACATGGCAGATCAGTATGACCACAAATTAGCCGTGAAGGACGTGGAATAAAAAGAGCACAGCAAACAAAATCCATCTGTCCTTCTAAGATCCTCACCCTGCCAGATCTCCCCAAAAGCCACAACTTCTCTTTCTAAATGGGTGCAAGTTCTGTTTGCTTTTGAAAGTGTCTCCAGGAGCATTTTCCCCACTGAGGTCTGTGCTTTTTGCTCAGCGCTCGGCTTCTGTAATGTGGGTGAACACTCAGGAGCTGTGCAGGGGTAAATGGGGCTTGGTAAGCTTTTTAGCAATGCTGGAGGGAATGCAGCTTTCAGCAGCGCTCCAGAGCAGGGACCAGGATAGGAGATCTTGATGGGCTCTTGTGGAATCATTCTGCTCCATCTCTCCCATTGCACCATCCCATCTTTGACGAGTTGTTGGTGCCCGTGCTTAACAAGACCATGGCTTATTCTTCCCCTGGGATCTGGGACAAGTTACACAGATGTGTATATTCCAGTGTGGTCCCACTTCCATTTTTCAGTCCATCCAGGGTTATTAGATTCCTCTTAATTCTTTGTAAGCAGCAGCTCATGGCATTTTGAAATGCTGTTCCTCGGTCAGATGGCAGATAGCAAATGTTTCCACTCAGAGCACCTCTGCCTACTTGTAAAAAGCAGCCTATACATGACCATTTCTATACATCTCTATTTTTAACATCTGAAAAAAAGCAACCCCTTCTATTTTTAGATACAGCTCAGTTCTGTAGGCTGGCTGGTTCTAATAAAAAATTCCTCACTCTCTAAAGAAAATCCTGCACTGAAATCACAAATCCAGGGGAACGTCCTGTACTACTGGCAGACCTACTAAGATGAAAACCTCAGCTTGTTAGCAAGCCTTCCAAACAAAAACATTTACCCAGACTCAAGAGGAAAAACAGGCAAGGAAGAGGCAATAACCCCAGCAAGTTTTCTACCACGCCTTCAATCTGCTATATAAAAAATCAAAGAAAAATATACCCACTGATTCAGACAGGAGGTCAGGATCTTGGACATCTTTCAAATCTCTTTTGTCTGTCCCACTTGGCCTGGTTGCTAGATGTGTTTCCAACAGCTGTCTCTCTTTTGGAGATGATGCCGTAGTGCTCTCTACTGCTGGCCTCTTGATCCCCTTGGACCAGGCTCCCAAACAAATGTCCCTCATTGTCTGCTCTGCAGATGGGCGGTAGGTATTCCTGCTGGAGGGATTCTGCTTTTAGGAGAACCTGGTTGCTTGTAACCGAGTCATTGCAATGCCAGCTGTGCATTGCTATGGTTTTCCCTGTGCTTTTCCGTCTCCAGCAGGGAAGTGCCACCTCTTTCACTGCCAGTCTGGCCTCAAGCCCATCATTGACGTTTGGGTTTTCAGTGTTACGAAAAGCAAACTGGGTAACACAGCTTAGAAACCTAGAGGTCTTTGAAGCCTCATTCTTAGCTGCAGTTCTGTAAAGCTGAGATGCTGTTAATAACTCAGCATGCACTGCAGGGAGAAACATCTTAAGGAATGTGTGAGCAACTCTGAAACTGGAAGTGGAGGAACTAAGAAGACAGAGACGAAGAGACACTTTCCTGATGTGTATGTATGATAATCCCCAGGGTATAGAGCAAAGCACATCGTGTTTCCCTGCATGAAAACTGCACTGCAGGGATGTGAACAGGAGGGGAGTGTGACTGACAAGTGGTTGCCCTGCAAAACTTGTACAGCAGAAAGAAAGCAAAAGATCTGCTCTGCCCTTGTATGAATGCCGCCACGTATATTCATCTTTCAACTGTAAACCATGTGCCAAGGAAGTGCACCAGGAACAGTCAGAGGAAAGCTGCTGCAGTAACCCTGCAGCACATCTGGTCATGCAACTGAGCAGGAGTAGAATGAGAGGGAGAGGAAAAAAGATCAGACTGAGTTGTGGCATGTTATGGTGTCTGTATGTAACAGTGATTGACAACAGGGAATTGCCTAAGCTAATATGTGGCCTGTCAGGGTATCACCTGGATACTCTCTAACTTCTAAGTCAGTTTCAGGCAATTAAAGCTTTCAGAAGATAAAAAGCCTTGCAAATAACACCTCACAATGAAGGTGGTATGTCTAGCATAATTATACCCAGGTTCTTGCTATACCTTTGGATAATCTGGCTGACCAGTGTATCAGCCATGCTGCCCACCAGTTTCTTTCCCTACTGGGAGTAAAAATTGGAAGAATTTTATTCCTTTCAAAGGAAATAAATCACTCATTTTCTTCAGCTTTTACTGCAGGAAGCATTGTAGCTAGAAAGAAGAAAAAAATGAGATGATCTTTTTCCTTTGTGTGGGTGAAAAGGGCACATATCAAAAATGAATCCCCTGCCCAAAGTGGCACTGTGCCCATCCCTATTTACACGTTACCATTGTCTCAATGGAGTCCTTTGTTTCCAAAATGCAGAGTTTATTCCAGCAGTGAGCAGGGCTTGGGTCTGTGTCTTACTGTCTACTGGGGGCTAAGCAAACACCAAGGATGTTATCCAATACCATAACTAACAGTGGAATTCAAAACCTCTGAGCAAAAGCACTTCTTTCCCCCTGACCCTTGGACCGTTCTGGCTTGCATTTCAAGCCTCTGTATTTTTATCTGAAGAAGGAAAGTTCTTCTGTTCCCTACCAGCCTGCTCACTTTCAAGGTGTTACACACAGGGCTCACGAACACTGGGTTACAAGGTGGTCCACGTTACAATACACAACACTAGGAAATCATATTTGAATGCACTAAAATGAGAGTTTTCAAGATTAGGAGCAGAACTAGTTAACAGCGTGACATTTACTTAGAGAAGGACAGAACTGTGAAGAAAATGTAATCATCTCCCAACCCCTACCTTTGTCTGACATACATACAAATGCCATCCGTGGGTGAAATAACACCCAAAGCTTTACAGACAGCTCTATCAAGCAATATGCTGTCTCAGACACTCTGCTATTTGCTGCTTCCAACCTCTCCTGCTGACGGCTGTCTGCAGAGCCTGCTGTCCCACGAGCCAGTGCAACTCCTTTCTAGTTTGTGACCAGTATTTAGTAACCACTCTGGCAAGAGCAGGCACAAGTCCAAATTCAATCATGCAAAACTGAAAGCTGGAAGGCTGGGCACGGTGTGTGTTTTGGGCTGTGGGAGGAGGCACGTGCTTTCTCTGCTCTCATACCTTCCAACAGTGCTGTGTAATCAGGATCTGGGCTGGCCAGTGCTCTGACAGACTGAAATGATAGAGGATGTTTGATAAGAATTTGGAAATGCATCTACCTGAAGGTGAGGGTTAGTGGAGGTGTTAACACTGACACTGTGCCCGACATCCATAGTGCAGAAAGTCCTCGTTTTCCCATCAAGTAACACTCATTTGTTATCATATATACACACCAGAGATTTACATGGCTTGTAGGGATGAATCATGCATAATTGTGGCTTCTTACATGACAGCTGGTATATTAACAAGTGACTTATTTGTGCTCTGTGCTGAATGAGTGTAGTGGGAGCATGTGGACCTCTGGTGTCAGAACCATATTTGTCATTATCTGGAGGTAAAACAGCAGTTTGGTGATTAAAAACAAAATAGAAAATAATTGCTGACTTTATTTGCCTGTACCCTGGGAAACCATGCTTTGATTTATACATGCCTATTATACACATACATTACATATATATATATGCCTAGTGAAAACATGATAGTAAGCATTATTCAACCATTCTTACACAGAATATTATAAATAACATTAAGAGGTGGATTTATAACCATTTTGCCCATAGCCCACAGTGCCTTTTTGGAAGCCAGCAGGAGTCATGGGCACAAGGAGAAGGTGTTCTCTGTAAATCAGAGGCTGTGACCTGGCAGAGGCTTGAGGAAGTTCAATAGGCAGTGGTGTTACATGGGGTGCCTGGAGCAATGCTCACCTATGACATCATTCTTCGGTGTGACAACACTCATGGACCTCACCTGGGTGCAGCAATGTCTGGCACCTTGTGGGCCAGCATCATCTCATTATGGGTTATCCTACCTCAAAATATCCTGGGGATGGAAAGTTACATTCACAGCAAGTTCTCCACCAGTCCCACTGGGTAGTTTGGGATTCATTTCAAAGGTACTTCTACTGTTGGTGTCCCCCAGGAGGCTGTAGGCTGTAGGATTCCAGTAAAAGGGCTACATGCTAACAGAGCTCTTCGCTCTGTGAGCTGCGTGGAGCAGAGCAGGCTGCCAGCTCTGTCCCCTGCCAGGTCTCACACTTTGCTTTCAAACTCCCAGCTCGTGGGGTCTGGATGGGGAGAAGTGGCACCGCCACGGCCATGCCCCACTCTGATGGAGTGTGCAGAAAGGGGTGCAGTGTCAGAGCATGCAGGCTGCTTGGCCAGAGTGCAGGGAGCAAAAATAAATAACCATTGAGGAGAGACCTACTAGCAAGCAAGGGGAGAAACCTCTGCACGTTCCCATTTGCTGGGAAGG